CCGGGAATCTTTCTAAATGAGAATGTAAGAAATGTACTTTTAAGCTCATTAAACATCCCAAGTTTTTGAAGTTGTCAAGCATATTTTCAACAATTTGTTTATACTGAGGATCTTTATTATTTCCTAAAAATTTAGTGACTACTTCTCTAAAACCTTTCCAAGCTTTTCTTTCTAAATCTGTCATTTTTTCTTCAAAAGTTTGATCTTTTAACAATTCTCTTATCTGTGGACCATCAAACATACCTTCCTTAATTTTGGCTTCTGACAACTTGGGAAATTTAGTACGTAAGTAGATGAAGGCATTACTATTTTGAGCTTTTAAAGCTTTTATAAATTGTTTTATTAAACCTAACTTGATGTGTAATGGTGGTAATAGTATTTTAGAAGGATCAACTAATTTCTTTAAAATAATATTTTTATCTCCAGGTTTTAACTCTTCTCTTATTGGCCAATTTTTTTCTATATAGTGCTGTTCATGATCACGACTGTCCCATTTGCAAATAAAACAAGGATACTTAGTGAAACCACTTTGCTGTCCTAGAATTATAGTGACAATCTTTAAATCTGTGCAAATGAGCCATTGGTGCTTTTCGTAATTAAGTTTCTTTAATACAAAACTGATGGATTCATATTCTTCAGTAAGCACTACAGAATGAGCAACTGGCACCGAAGCATATTTATTACCATTATGCAGTAGTAAAGCTTTAAAACTTCTTTTTGAAGAATCCAAGAAAAGTCTCCAATCCTCAGCTAAGTAATCTGCATTTAACTCGTTTATAAGTCCTTTGATATTACAACAATATACCAAAAAGTTTTTTTCCAAAAAATATTTTCTGAAAGGCTCATCTCTATTGCGGTAATGAGTAACCTTAGTTCCTTTTTCTAACAAGTTTTTTTCTTGCAGCCTAGAAGCAAGTAGTTCTGAACGTCTTTTAGAAAGATCTAACTCTCGTACAAGATCGTTTAATGTCAATTGGTTAAATAAAATTGGAGTCTTCTCTTCGAAAAAAAAAAAAAAAAAAAACTGTCATGACAATGAGAATCTTCATGTTCAGATTCAGTATTATCAGAAATCAGAATCTGTAATCTCTTCTTCATCTACAATCACATCATTAGTTTCAAGTTGTTCATTAGATTTTCTCCTTATGGTACTAATTTCATCATTGATGATTGGAAAAGTCACTGAAGATACTTTTGGATATGTAATGTTGTATTTATTTTTAATGTTATAACCCGTAGTGTTACGCAAACAAAAGTAACAATCATTCCTATGATTTTGAGGTTTTCTCCATATCATCGGAGATAAAAAATGTCTTGTGCTATCGTCACCGTTCTTCCACCGTCTTAGTCTGTGAATGCACTTTACACAGATAGTCTGTGGAATCCATGGCTTTTGGATTTCATTTGAAGATTTCTCGTAACATTCAATATACCAAGATTGCAATAAATCCGTGAATTTTTTTCGTTCTTTACTTGTAAGGTATTCACCACACATAATACAGAAGTGATTGGGATCGTTACTACACTGATTCATTTTTTCCATTTTTATCCTAAAATGTTAACGACGAAAAAATATGAATTTACAAAATAATCATAAATAAAGAAATTGAAAACTACAATCACTATCAGACCATCCTCGATACAGAACTTTTCATTAATTACGCATATTTGCAAGTATGTATACAGAATTCAGTTTTGTGGGTTTAGAGAGAACTTGAATTTTTTGGTCTGTGTTAGAATTTGGGATTTGAGGTTTGCGGTTTTGAAACTTGGGCTTTAGAAAAGTAGATTTGGAGTTTATAATTTGTTGTCTTAGGTTTCATAAGCTTCCAATTTATATGCATTCAATTGGGGGTTCTGATTTTAAGCAGCTTTGGATTTGTGGGCTTAAATGCGGTGGGTTTTGAAATCGTAAACTTTGAATTTGTGAGCTTGAAGTTTAAATAACTTCGATTTTATTACATTACAGTTTTATGAGCTTGAAATCAGGGGAACGAGAGTTTAAAGGCTTCGAATTTATTAATTTGAGCTTCGTACGTTTGGGTTTGTGGGTTAAAAGTGTAGAGATATATTCTATAAAATGCTAGATATATTTTTATTGATTAAAATGACATGATATTTCGTAAGCTCAAAAATAGAATAAGATGGTAGGCTACTCATACACGTAAAAAACTAAAAGCAGACCAGCACACAGGGCCCTTCTGATAGTATTGAACTCATTTTTTTTATTTAAAACTACAGATTAAACTTGCTGTTTGAGAGATAGCCTGTTTCAAGTATGTTAGAGATGGTGTAATAGGATCCGAGCGCTAAGGGTAGGTATTCAGGTTAATTTTATTGATCAGAAGGTAGATTTAATTGGATGAAATGAATTGTTCCCAAGATAACTGGCAATTAAACAACTTTTTATCTTATTAATATGGATGAGCAAGCTAGTGGTTTGTTAGAAGTAGTGTGAGGGAGTTGAAGGGTTATAAAAAGGTATTCAGGTAGATTTAGTTAATCAAAGAGTAGATGGTTCAACATTCTATTTGTATTAAACTTGATTATTTTATAGAAAACTGGCGATTCAACTTGCTACTCCCTGGGTTATGTGGGTGAGCCTACTTGTGGTTTGTTAGGGGTAGTTTTAGGGGTTCATAGGATAAGGCCTGAATGGTGAGATACATCTGCTTAACCAGAAAGTTGATAGTTTAATCTTCTCACTGTATTATACCAGATTGATGGCTAAAAAACTAGCGATTAAATTCACTGTTTTCTGGATTACGTGGGTGAGCGTGCTTGTGGTTTGTTAGGGGTAGTGTTAGGAGGTAAGAGGGTTAAGGGTCGGCGTTGAAGTTGACGTTTTTGATTAAACGGTTAGTGCTTTAACATTTTGGATGTATTGAGTGGTATTACATATTCGTTTTCTTTATGTTGAATATTGTCCAAGGTTTGTCGTATTTCTTACAAAATAATCGACTTTTTCGACATATTTTTTGATTTTGCCAAAAATTCTGACGTAATAGAGCAAAACCAAAAATTTCTTTGAATTCAGCGTCAAAAAATACATAAGAAAAATATGGTCTGACCCAAGATCCGGACATCTTTTTTTTTTTGTAAACCTGTGTTATTATTATAGAATGCACTCGTAATAATAGAAAACAGTGCAATTGATTATTGAATTGATATAAGTTGACAGAATTTTTATAATTTGTACAAAAACGGTATTTTATTTTGATAACTTGTATATATTCCGTGACATTAAAGATAACCAAACTACTATTAGACCAACAATACTTGCAGGTAGTGTAACTTAAAATGGAGATTGTACCACAGGTAGTTAGTCCGATGTTTATAGAAGTTGGAGTGCAGCAGTGGTACAAACCAAAATAAAAATAACTTTACAAGAGTATACCCCCTGTACCTAAGTAATAATCGAATAATTTTACGTAGCGGTACCAGATGTAAATTAAGAAGCGAACACTGTACTGATTCCGAAGGTGATCATATCTTTTGGAAAAGCAGGCCTCGTTATTTTTTAGCTTCGACAGATATAACCTGTTATACAATAGTGTGGTCAATGAAATTAAAGGTGAATACATCTATATATATTCTATATATATCTATAAATAATATCTAAATATAAGTGATATGTATGCGGTTATGAGATTGTTGTTACTGAACATCCAAAGTTATTCATTTATGTAGTTAAAGACAATATGCCATTCTTTAGTAGAAGAATCTTTAAGTGATCTAGATATATTTGCGTATGTAAAATCCAAATTTATAATTGTAGAGTGTTATATTAGATCACAACTGATAAATCTGTACAAGAATGTTGTGGTACAACGTTGTAGGCAAGAAAGAGAAATTTTGAAAAATGCACTTGCAATGGCTACACAATTTCTTGACCAGTTTGTATATAATCTTGTGAGGGGACCCGGATACATGGCTGAAACAGCAGGAGACGTAGTGCATATCGTTAAGTGCATACCCAATTGAAAGGAATCCATAACAATCATACTAGATTTTTTAAATCTAAAACTCAGATTTTAAAAGCCTATGGAATAATAGTTGATTGTAATGTTTTGCTATCTATATTCTTTTATTTCAATGAAGATTGGTATAAGTTTTTACTTAAAGTGGTAGAAGCAAAAACAGCCACTACTCTTAAGCCTTTTTCTGGCTTAACCTGGAAATTTTAAATATTCCTTCTCTAGCTACGAGTGGAATATATACAGAAAAGGATTTACATGAACTAATAAATCGCCTCATGTTCTCTATGGAACAAACTTCTGTAATAAAAGATTTAGCCCGAGAAATCCGTGGATAGGCCATAAAAGATTACGATGGGATCAGGAAGATTGATGAATGACAATGTAATGGAACAATTGTTGTCAAAACAGAGAATAAGATGTGGATAAAATTTATTAACTTGGGCACATTTAGTGCCGAAGCACTTGCAATCATATTAATCATCCAAACGAAAAAAAAAAATTATAGAAATTTTTATGAATGGAATAAATCTGCATAGCATTTACTTTCCTTTTCTCTTTAGTCCTTCTTTATTTTTCAGAAATCCATTAAGCGAGAATCTGGTGGATTGACATTAAATTCCCTTAAGAGCACATTAAACGTTAGTCTAGTGTACTCATAATGTTATTATTCCCGAGTAGAAAACAGTTTTTTCTAGCAGCAATAGTACTCACCCTGGATCAAGCATTTAACGCCAACTAAAAGCAGCAATCCTGAGAACACGCTTACTCGAAGCGTACCTGAGAGTGACTCCTACGTCACAATAAGTTTGAAAAAAATATAAAAGAATATATATTAATAGACGTAATAAATGAATATATTGTGTAAGGGCATTTATATGAATGGGGCTAATATGACTTGCAATGTTATGTATATTAACTAAAAAATGAATATTAATAAAAGAAATCCATTAATAATAATGATTCACACAAATCAATAAAATATTTATTAAGAAAATACTGTGAGAAATAATAGCTAATTACCTGCATATCATTCCCTCGACCTGTTGTACCTAAATCATCTATACCAGCGATTTCAGAAGCAAAGCGTATACATCTGGTACAGTGTATGCATCTGGTCATAACGGTTTTGATGAGAGGACCCATATCTTTATCTTCGACAGCTCTTTTTCCACTGAAATTAATATCAGTAAACCGACTTCGATCGTTACCAAAAGCCATACTTTGATCTTGTAGATCACATTCACCTCCTTGATCACAAATGGGACAATCTAAAGGATGATTGACTAACAAAAATTCCATTACTCCTTCTCTTGCTTTACGAGATAGATTAGAATTGGTCTTCACTCTCCAGCCTTTCATCACAGGCATAGCACAAGCCGCAACTGGCTAAAAATTATTCCTTATCTTAGATAAACATAACTTATACATAATCAATTTACCTTTTAATGTTACATAATCTCATAAATGCATTAGCATTTCAAAATATTATTTTACTTTAAAAAAGTTATATTAATATAATAATTTTATATGCAAGATTAAATTATAAAAACAACATAACTATATTTCTAAAGAAATTGTAAAGTTACTTATACTGCATAAATTGAGCTAACTTGCCAAACGTGTCATGTGCGTTATCAAATTGGATGACCGCGAGATGTCTCGGCTAATAATAAGAGCCTTGCCTGGCTTTTTCTCTTATCCACTAAAGCAACGGTCGTACACATCAGGCAGTAACGCACATCGACCGTTTCAAACTCGACTAATGTGAGAGAATTAATGTGAGGTGTACAGAGTTTACACGTTCTATGGTGGTTGTAGCCAGTTTTGTGATTGAATGATAAGCAAGGTAGATCCGCGCCACCATAAATCATACGATTTCAGCTTAGGAGGTGAAGCGTCGAGAGTAGTCAAATTAGCTGGATTTTACTTCATTACAACACGAGCTCAAGAAACCATGGAAGTTATGTTTGAATTAACGATATACGATATACGAGGTGTGATCAAAAAGTAAGGTGAATTTTTATTTTTCTCAAAAAATATTTATTTATAAATCAACTTTTATTTTATCTCCTTCGAAGTAATCCCCCTCGGATATAATGCACTTGTGCCAACGCTTTTTCCAATCCTCAAAGCATTTTAAAAAATCATTTTTTGTGATCTTGTTTAGTTCATCCTTCGATGCCGTCTTTATCTCCTCAATCGTGGCAAAACGCCGTCCTTTCATGGGCCTCTTCAGTTTTGGGAACAAGAAGAAGTCACAGGGGGCCAGATCTGGGGAATACGGTGCCTGTGGCATCGTTACTGTGTTGGTTTTAGCTAAAAATTCGCACACAAGCAACGATGTGTGAGCAGGGGCGTTATCATGGTGCAAAAGCCAATTTTTATTTTTCCACTAATTCGGACGTTTCTGGCGGATTGCTTCGCGCAAATTGCGCATAACTTGCAGGTAATATTCCTTATTTACTGTTCTACCCTGTGGCAAGAACTCATGATGCACCACGCCCCTGCAGTCAAAGAAAACTGTAAGCAAAACCTTTACATTTGATCGAACTTGGCGTGCTTTTTTTGGTCTTGGTGATCCAGAATGCCTCCACTGGGACGATTGAGTCTTAGTCTCGACGTCGTAACCGTATACCCATGTTTCGTCACCTGTTATAACCCTGTTGAGTAAATCTGGATCATCGTTGACGTCATTCAGTAGCTCTTAGCCGATGCTCATGCGACGTTTCTTTTGGTCGAAATTGAGCAATTTCGGAACAAACTTCGCTGACACACGTCTCATGTCTAAAACACTCGTCAAAATTGATTGGCACGAACCAAATGAGATGCCAATATCATCAGCAATTTCTCTAATGGTAATTCGACGATTTCCCAACACTATTTTCTTCACTTCTTCAACATTCTCATCAGTTGTTGATGTGCTGGGGCGTCCAGAACGAGGTTCGTCGTCGGTGTCTTCTCGGCCTTCTTTGAAGAGTTTATACCACTTGTAAGCATTTTTTTGGCTTAAAGTAGACTCACCGTATGCCACTTTCAGCATTTCAAGTGTTTTGGAACATTTGATTCCATTTTTCACACAAAATTTAATGCAAACTCTTTGATCCATGTTTTTAGACAGCAGCAAATCGTGGAGCACGCAAAACACTTCTAACTTTGATGCCTCTCACAAACAAACCAAATATACTACAAAGTTGAAATTTGGAACGTATGTTCTAGACGAGTGTACCGACATAACCAAATAAAAAAGTCGAAGATCGAACGGACGTAGCCCGCTAAATTTCAAAATTCACCTTACTTTTTGATCACACCTCGTACAATGAAGGTCTTCCAGTGGCACATATCCTTTTGAAGTCACTTAAGCAAAATTTGGCTGTCAAACCAAAAATGGATCGTTACATACTTCAAAAAATTGAACTTGAGCAAATAACACATAAGTTTCACGAACAGTATAGCGCCGAGTAACGCGAGATCTATAATACTCACAGATTTCATCAATGAAACTTTGATTTTAGCACTGACCAGCGAAAAGCGATATTAGACATTCCTATCGTCAATTCGAAGGTAAGCTACTGCAGTGTAAGCATGCAACGAATCGTCCGAAAAATCGTGGATCTCAAATGACTTGACACGTGACAACCCGAGCTAACGGTTTATCGACAGCGTCAACAGATCATTGAGCTGCTGATAATAACACTACCACCGTTCATACGTTTGTAATGGGGCGAATATTTGGGCAAAGGGGCGTCGCAGCGTACGTGACCGCGAGTATATGCTTGCGTACAAAGGGTGCTACGTTCGCGTGCAAGGTCATACATGCGGGCAAGACGCTGGATCTTCGCCCTACTACTGTGCCGGCTGCACACTTCGACGACGTTGTTCAACGCAGCTACTACCCCGTTAATTGCTCTCATTTTCTATGTGAGAAGTCGAGAGGCAGGTGATTGTCGAGTGCTAGAAGAGGAAAGATTGCGAAAACTCACGCGACTGATGCCGATACACTCGATGCTCGGGAGTTCATTCGACGAGGGAATGCAGAAAATCGACCAGCAGAAGATGGTTAGAACATCGAGCACCTTGGCTTTATTAAACTGATAGGTAGAGGGTACGAGTCGTCGGTCCGGCAGCCACTATAAACGATTTAACAACGGCGACAATGCCAAACCCGACGCACGCAAACAAGAAATCGCTGTACGTGCGAGAGAGAAAATATACGCGAAGCTAAGTTAAATCGCGCGCACGCTTCTGCTCGTCGAGCTCGGGATTCCGCTCTGGTATTTGAGATGGACCTCGGTCTCGCCAGTAGATCGTCACACAAAAGTGAACGCGCGAAATCGCACGGGAGATTCGTCGCAGTGATTCACAAGAGGCTGCTTACTGTTCGACGCGTGGATATCACGTTAGGTCTGGCTTTTCTTCCCCGCTCTATCAGTCATCAAGCCGAAATCCTGGAAACATTTTATTTCTTTCAAGATTATATGCGGTGACTCGAGCGGACAGGAAAAAACTACCGGTACACATACGTGCGACCCCTCTCTCTGTCTCTCTCTCGCTCTCTCGGTCTCACCGCTTTGTTCGCCTCACAGTTGATGCCACTCCGTCCGCGTGATTCAATTCGTGAAACGAGGAATACTCATTACAGTTTTTATACAAAATATATAAAAATAACATTATAATAAGTTTTTGGGAAAAATATTTTATTCAACTTTATAATATAAGCATTTTACATAAAATAACAAAATAATTTATTAAATAAATAAATTCTGTTATTTAAAAAAAACTTGAAATATGAGGAAATAAATCTGAATCGTAAATACTTTTAATTTTTCTCATCGAAATTATAACACTTAAATTTTATCAACAACTTTTTTTTTCCAAACTTTTTAATGCCAAAAAAAAAAAGTATTTATCTCAACCAAAATTATGAACTCTTTATTGGTAACAACGAGTAACAAAAATAAATCATACATAAACATATTTAACACATATATATGTTTCTTCTAAATGTAATAGTGTATTTAAAAAAATTGTAATCAAATGAAAAACACCTATAGATTTTATTCCTGAATATGATTGAAGGGCCCTTTAGAAAACCATTCCAAATAAAATGAAAATCTAGAATCCAGCCTTTCTTTTTGCTAATTTAATGTTTTTTATCGACATTTTATAGAATTTACTCGTATTATGACGTTTTAATGTTTGAGTAACAAATGGTTATGGTTTTATAAATAAATAATATGATTAATTTTTAACAAAAGATAATTTATTTATACTTTTCGACTATATATATAATGAATTTTACATTTTTTAAAGCAAAATAATGAACAAAAATATAGCTCATCGATTATCATAGCTTACATTGTAAATTCAAAAACGTTATATACTTGAAAATTTAGTAAGAGAACTTGTTCATAGACACATTGGTTGATATTACCGGCTTTATCTCTTTGTTTACATTTTGCGTACACCAAGTATTATAATAAGATAGAGCTGATACTCATAGAATCGGCTGCGATTACTATCAAATTTATTTATTTAACTAAGCTTAGTTCGATTTCCATCGTGCTTTTGTTTGCGCAAATGTGAAAAAAATGATACGTTACTCAAAATACCATGCTTGTACCCACGAAGAAAATCGAACAAAATTGTGTTTATTATGCCAAAAAAATTAAAATAAATATGTCAAATATACGACCAAAGATGACTAGTATAGTTTATACAGTATACAAACACATGTCTTTAGAGTTCAAAAAAGATAATGAGAAGTAGGCTAAAGGTTGTAATATAACATGAGAAATAACTTATGGCGAACCTGCTTTTGCAGGAAATTTTTGTAACACTTTGTTAAACAGAATAGATGTTTTCCGTAGAAAGTGCAATATTAATTGTTTGAAATTCGCTAAATGTTTTACTGATTTTCGATCAGTCGTTGATTTGTATTTTTCTGAAAAGTTAGAAAACAAAAATTTTGTTTATACAATAAAGGCATTTCGTCAAAGTTATTTAGATTTATATATTAACGTTACTTCTATAGCTCATGAAGTATTTCATCACGTATCGTATTTCTGTTTAAAAAATAAAAAAGAGCTTGGGTTTTTCATTGAACAAGCAATGGAATCTGTTCATTGTGATCTAAAAAAAACTTGGATGAAACGTAAAGTAGCTAACATACGAGGTGTGTTCAAAAAGTAAGGTGACTTTTCAAATTTCACGCGCAACGTACTAACACACATATGAAAATTTCATTTCTGAAACTCTTCACATATCCGGGGCTCGAACCCGCGACCTCTTACACAGAAGCCTGGGCTCTTACCCACTATGTACATCTAGAAATATGAATTACGGCTGCCAATTTTGGCACGAAAAGTCAGAAAAGTTTTGCCAGTTAA